AATAATAATGCGTTCTTGAGAACCGCTTCGTCGGGTTCCCCTTGTTCGGACACACAGATAAAAGAATTCTCACATATCACCAAATAATCGAGTGTTGCGTACGTTACTGCAGCCTTTTCAATACTGTGCGCTTTCTCAGTTAAAATAAAAACGGATCCACACGTGTGCAGCCACGAGTAAGATTGCAACGCCTCGAACGTTAACACAATGCCCTTGAAGTCCTTCCTAAACACAAATGTAACGACGTGAACAACGTTATCGATTGATTCACTTATTTCAAATCCCTACGATTTTTTAATTTTTTTAGTTGTTTTTAAATGTGTATCATCTCACGTGTATTCATTTGGTTTTCAAATGCACTGTACACAACACGTTCAACGATCGATGCATATACTATACCCCGTTCCTTACTCCCTCTTGTAAATAAATTAAGAACCTCCTTTTTCTTAGTCTCCCTCGTGCGATAACATCGATACCGTTGACCACTCTTTACACCGGCATCTATCAGACCACTTTAAAATCGCATTCGTCGTATTAACCGAAAAAGCACGAAGGCGTTGCGTTCTCGTGGATCTCTTGTATGTATGATGTGTGTATATATATATATATTATATATATGCACGCGCGCGCGCACACACACATACACAAAATTTCGTGGAAGATATCGACGCTTTTTTCTCGGAAGGAATAACCGACAGATTGATCGTTAGAACGACGCCATACAATGAGACGAGTATAGGTATTATGCTACCAATGCTCGCGTGTCGCTGCGCTGACGTACAATCTTGCACGAGATTGATCGATCGTACGGAACGAAATATTAAAACTAGTGTTTGGAAAGATTTATGAGGTGTTTATATTTAACAAATTATTACAATTTCTGTTAATTGTAAGGTGTAGTGTTAGATGATTCGTGTAAAGTTAAAATGATATGTATGATTTTTCTGATCGACTTGATTCTGATGAAATGTATATGCTATAATTTTATAAAAATAAAATATTTCAAATTTTTTCGAATTACCAAGCTTTAATGAAATTTCTGTATTCTACGAATCACCTGTGTTAGAACGTACCACTAGAAGCATGATAGGTTCCCTTTTCGAGAAGAATCTCAACCTTTGTCTCACGTGGGAGTTTCGTATCGATCGATCTCGCTTCGAGAATCGTCCCACGAAAGGCGCATGCGAAAAGTTCCGATCGTTTCAATAGAAACATCGAAGATCTCGTTTCGTCGACGTTTAGGACCGACAGTCGTATTGAAAGATTGATTGGAATCGACAGAGTACCTAGTTTTTCCTGAGAACAATATTATACACGTATATTTATACTTGCAAGAGTAAAGTAATAAATGGAAACGGTGTCCTTCCGAGTGTACACTCGATCTAGTATACTAGAATGGATTATCGTTCGTCGACTTTTGAAACTTAATAGATTCATGGTACCCAAAAGTATTCTACTAATGATTCTCATTGATCTTTTTGTATTAGATTTATCTTATCACAGTTACGTTTTTTCTTTCTTTCTTTTGATAATTTTATATTTGTTGAAACTATTCGCCGTGCACCGACGACTGAGGAAACCGATGAAATGTTGCGAACTAGTCGCTCGAATATACTCTATGAAAACGTCCAAATCAATCAAAAGGAGAGGAGAAGAGGGGGAGGGAAGTGGTGTACTATTACTCTCATATATAAAAACATCACTCGTACTGCTTAAACGTTTTCTCGAACTGTACAAAAAATATAGCGTTTTCTTTCAACTTAAAGCCAATAAGGAAGCACTTACATTTTTTTCAATTTTCTTTTTTTTTAGGAAACAAAACCAAGGTCCCTAAGAAAGTAGGGGACGATTCAGAAGATACGAGGATAATTGTATACTGATCAATGGTAAAAAAAAGAAAAAAAAAAATGTTGCAAATAGCAACGAGTGTTCTATATTCTTTTTTTCTTAATATAAAGATCGATCCTGAATATTACTCGAAATAAAAAATACCCAAAATTGTTTAAACGTGCAGATTTTTTTAAGAATCGTAAATTGCAGTACCAAATCTACAATTAATTCCCTTTTTTTATAAGTTGATATTTTTTTCACGTTTGACAATCTTTTGAGTTGTTCGGATATATCGAACTTTTCTCGAGTGTTTCGCGTGATATTCAAGTTCGCTAGGCATGCTTAAACACCCCATATCTATTTGCAAATGAAGAAAAAAAAAAAGAAAGAACGAACGTCATCGATCGACGACGATTCGAGATGATCGTATGTATGTACAGGAGTCATATCTATAAGAATGTACGTCAACGCCAAATTACGAAGGATTTGTAATGAAACAGTGCTCTCTCTTAAGATTCGATAACTCTTACTCTTAAATGGATTAAGTCCTTTCCATACCCGAACAGGACGAAAAATCATGGACGAGGCC